TACACGTGGAGGTTTGTTATACAGATAAATTGCGTGTTGCAGGGGTTTGGTGTACAGATTATTTCACCAACTGGATGATGAGCATAGTACCTGATGAGTAGTTTTCCATCCTCACCCTCCTACCCTGAAGTGGGCCCTGGTGTCCTGTTATTCTCTTTTTTGTGTCCTTGTGTTCTCAACATTTAACTCCATTTTTACATGAGAACAACAAAGCACGGAATTAATTTTTATGCATAATAATCTGAGTAAAGCGCAGTTGAAGGATCTTGGAGTCATACAGGCTTGCTTCATATTTTATTCCTATTGGATATTTGAGTCTCAGTGTTTCTTCATTGTAAACCTGGATTCCCAGTTTAAAAACACTAGTGTTATTTCTGAACCATATACATTTGCTTATTGCTTTATTCAGAAGGTAAAGTTCAAAATCCTTATTAATAGCCAGTGGAAAACAAAAATAACTACCTGCTATGTGTGACCTAAAATATACTTTAGGTAATTAAAGTGTATTTTTGTTGCCTTTGTTACTCTTATTCTGTGTTCTTATTTCCTAAACTGGAGCACTAAAATCATGGATGTTGAGATTCAAGCAGCGGTGATTTTTCTCTGAAAATTCCAGAATTTGCTTGTGTATCTACAGTTTCTTACCTCTCTTTCTTTTTTAAAAGTAGGAACTTCGCCATCCTTTAATCTCTACTTCTACCATAACAGCGATCACATACTTATTCTTAGTGTATTCAATTTAATTTAAAAAGCTTACCTTTAACTTTGAGAGGCTAAGGCAGGTGGATCACGAGGTCAGGAGATGGAGACCATCCTGGCCAACAGGATGTAATTTTGAATACAAAAATTCAAAAATTAGCTGGGCAAGGTAGTGCATGTCTGTAATCTTAGCTGCTCGGGAGGCAGGACACTGAGGCAGGAGAATCACTTGAATCCGAGGTTGCAGTGAGCACCACCTTACTCCAGCCTGGCGACAGAGCAAGACTACATCCAAAAAACAAAAGCTTACCTTTAAAGCCTTCCATACCCTAAGCCATAAAGGCAAGATGAAAAGACATACATCCTTTTGGGAAGGCATTAAAATCAAAGCCTGTCCTATCCCCTGGATCTTCATTGCCAAAGAGTGGGTAAAGCACACCTGGTACAAACACTTCTAATTCTTGTTTTGGTGACTCCAGAAACAAGCATGTAAACTAACAATAGCAGAAATTCAAATTATGACTGCGAATATCATTGTTGTGAAGGCATAGGGAAAATTGATTCTAAGAAGGAGAAATAGTAGACATTTCCTGGAGATGGTGACTTTGGAGCTAGATCTTGATGATGCCAAAGGTGTTCACAACCAGCAACAGCAAGAGATAGGAGGAGAAATGTGAATGAAGTGTGCTGGGAAACGGCTTCAGGGTACTGGCTAACATAAACTATAAGGAATATTGGGTTTGAAGGAAAGAATGAAGAAGAACCAATACTTACAGCAAAACTTAATTATCATAAATTAGCGTGAAGGTTCAGATGATAGGCTGTGGATGTAACATAATTATGCATCCTGAACAGCTGGTATCCTGTGTGACCCCTGCAATATTTTGGAATGATTGAGGATATCTGGAAGGAATACAGTGATTATGGGATTGCAGTTGGAGAATGATTAAGGATATTTGGAAGAATACGGTGATATGCATATATTATGGGATTGCGGTTGGAGTTGGGGCTGGGAGGTATCAGAGTCTATGAAGCTCTGCCTGTCCAATTCCTTGGATCTTCATTGCCAAAAAGTGAGTAAAGCTCACTTGGTACATACACTTCTAATTCTTCATTTGATGACTCCAGAAAAGTCATAGCTACTGAAAAGCCTCCTAGTAAAATGAGTAATAGCAACACTAAATGGACTGAAATTTTATGGAAAACCCCAAATAGTCCAGCATAGCCAAGATTTTTGTCTGGGAGAAAAGGAGACCAGGTTGCTGAAGACCTCAGGGATGCTTTTCTGGGAGTCAGGATTTTTCTCCAGGAAGTGGGACAATAGGAAGCAGGAAGAGCAGGATGGGTCGGAGAACCTAAGCTTTCCCAAGGAATCTCTGGAAGCCGTCACAATGTGGAGGGAAGAGAAATTAGAGGTAGGGAGACTGCCCTTGGCATAATAAGTGTCCAAGAAGAGAAGTGAGGATATCTTACGGACAGGAATGCTGGCAATGAAACAGACAGCAGTGCAGACAGACCAAGTACCAAATTGGGAGTGTGGGCCCCAAGTGTCTGATGTGTCTCTACTGGGAACTGATAATCACTTGGGGACCTATCTTCAGCTATCTTTTGCGAAATAGAATCTGTGAGTTCTTAAGTATTTGGCATAAGATCTTCTAAAAACTGTCCTTTCTTTTTCATATACTTGCATGTTCACCCCACCCATCAACGTTATTAGATTTTATTAGAAAGTGAAAGCTCAAAGACATTGAGTAACTTACCAAATTCATTTGTATACATTATCAATAGAACCGGGCCTAGGATCAAAGATAAACAAAAGATATTTGAATGCATGGAAGAGAAAAGCTTCATCTTTATCTTTTTATTTCCAAATAAGCAGTAACATTGGGATCTGCTGCTCTGTAATTGTGTCATCATATGCTTCTGAAGCAAAGAGATATTTCTATGGAGATATTTAAAACAGTCAGGAGGAGTACCCATCCCCGCCAACCACTGAAAGAGAATGTTTCTATGACACCTTGCTCTGCCCAAGCATACCATAGCCTTAGTGTAGACAGAGTAGTTCCTGGAGAGCAGGTGCAGTGCTATCACTTTTCTTTGTACTCTGAGTAGCAAGATGCAATCCTGGGAAACAAAATTTGAATAAATTAAATAATTGTTAAATACTGTGTAGTAACCTAGAATTACAGTGCCAGAAAGGATGTGAACTTCAAGTACAAATTTCTCATCTTGCATATGAATTCTTTCAATAGTATCTAGTTTCTTTTCTTTTTCTTTTTTTTTTAAGAAAAAAAGAGACAAATCTTTGGTTTTATAGTATTTGCATAGCTCTATTTTTTAAAAAAGTTCTTATAGGAGACAACAATCTGCCATTCGTCAGCTTCTACTTATTTTTTTTAGGTCTGTACACTGCTAGTACAGAATCTAAGTCTGATTCTTCAGTATTAGCATGAGAATGTGCAAAATCAGTTTGGAATTAGTTATGATATCAGTGGTAAGCTGTGAAATGTCCATGTGATATGAAGTCTTTCAGAGGCATTTAGTTTGGTTTACAAGCAGCTGTAGGAAATTACAATTAAATTTCTGTAAGGGACAAAACAATTATTCTTAAACTGAGAGTTGATGAGGTTAGTTCTGGCATATATGCCAGGTGTGAAACAAGGAGAAGGACTCAGTAGCTGGAAGAGCTGCCACTTAGATTCACCCAAGGGAATATCTAACTTGTCTGATTTTACATCACATAAATTTCAGTTCTGTGTACTTTATACAAGAAATTTACATGTTAATCTAGGGCTATAATAAAACACTTTCAGAAAGCTCTACCATTCTAAGTGGGACATAACATATCTCACTCAGGAAATTTTTATTTCGAATGCTAACTCAAAAAAAAAAAATCTGCCTGAGACTTAAGGAAAAACAGATTTCATAAGAGCAAGTTAGTATAACTTATTTGTTTCTGATAAAACTGAAGAAAGTTTCATTTCTGTTGAGCTTACTTTAAAACCTGTTCGTCAATGCACTAACATTGTACTTGCACTGTGATAGAAAACAGCATTTGCACTGACAGATTTTACAAGTGAAGGACATGTTGCCTTTGAAGATTCTATAACTGAAGGATGTAAGATAAAAATTAAAGGAAATTCACATATAAAAGATGGAAACAGGCTGAGCGCCATGGTGCACACCTGTAATCCCTGCACTTTTGGAGGCTAAGGTGGGAGGATCACTTGAGCTCAGGAGTTCGAGACCAACCTGAGCAACATAAAGAGACCTTGTCTCTACAAGTAATTTTTAAAAACAATAGTTGGGTATGGTGGTATGTCCTTGTGCTAGCAGTGACTTGGGAGACTGAGGTGGGAGGGTCATGTGAGCCCAGGCAGTTGAGGCTGCAGTAAGCTGTGATCATGCCTCTGCACTCCAGCATGGGTGACAGAGCGAGACCCCATCTCAAAAATAAAAAATAAAACAAAGATGCAAACAGTAGAAAGGTACGAAACTCACTTAACCTATAAAAGTTTTGTGCATTTAGCAGAGTTTTTTCTTAGAAAAATTGCCCATCAAAATGAATTTCTAAATGAGTCATATTTTACACCATTTTCCATTATATAATCAGACACATTCTGATTGTATAGTAGAAATCAGCATAAAATAAACCATTTCAAAATGTAACAAGACCCGAAGTCATATTTCAAAACAATGATTAATTACTATGCTTTGAAAAAATCAAATTGCCTGTAAATGAAAGTTGACAGAAATATATCTTACAGAAATTTTACTGTCTAATATTTGACTTTTATGGCTAAACTGTAGAACTACCTCCAGTTTCAATATTTGCCCAATAATGCCAACACTAGCTGCGTAGCTAATGCTGAACCCAGCCAAAAGCAAAATATTTGCTCATTTAGCTAGACCCAGTTACCACATACTTGGCAGTTCTATAATGCAGGGTTTTGATAGTGCTGATTAATAATGAAAAATAAATTTCTAATATATGTGCAAGAATTTAGTATTAGCTGGATTTCTAAACTGATGCAAAGAACATCTGGTTAATGTTGATGTCAATTTTATATAGACATATATGATTTCAGAATGTATATATTATATGCATATTACACACACATGTCTACAAATATTCTCTAAAGATGTAGTCACATATACAGAAGCATAATATAAATATCTGCAATAGAATGGATCAACCTAGGAATAGCTCACAAATGTATCAAAAACAAGGTACTTTTACTCAATGTTGCGACATACAGCTTATTGCATCTTTGAATCATTTTTCTTTGTTTTTTTAACAGGTTGTTTGGTATCAAGTCAGTAATTCAAACAGACTGTTCCAGTACTTGGAAGATCATAGTAAACCCGGACCTGTCATGGTATCACCATGCCAACCCTATCCTGCTGCTGGTGATGTACTACACGCTGGCCACACTGATCCGCATCTGGCTGCAAGAGCCCCTTGTAAGGACGAAAATGTTTTCATGATCTTGTCTGCAAAGTAACCTAGAATCTCCAGATGAAATGATTCACTCCCGTTCTTTACTGACTAATCAATACAGTATTCCAACACAACTCTAGTGTTCTGGGTATAATGTTTTAATTCTACAAAGAGTATTAGGTGAATATGAACACTACTAGATCAAGGACTAGCTTCCCTTTACTAACTAATACCACAACGTGCTGCTAAGAATGGCAGATGGTGAGGAGAATGGAAGACTCATTTTTGCTGATCACTTACTGTAATATGTCAGGTGGTTGTCATACATTATCTCATTTAATACACTAAATAACACTAAAAAAACTCTGATCAATAGAATAGGCATTATACTCATTTACAGATGAGGAAAATGAGGTTAGAGATGTCAATTTTTCTAAAATCACACATTTACTGGATGGTATAAATCAGATTCAAACCCATATTTGAGAGCAAGGCTTGATTCTTAAAGACACACACCCCTGCTGTCAAGTGGACTGGTGTTTCCCAAATCTCCTCCAGCCCTTAGCCTGTGAAGATGTGGGAGTGACAGCCCAGCTCTTGGTGGTGCCTGTTGCCTCCTGAATATCCCATTGCGAGGAATGGAGATTCGGATATTCCTTCCAGCACAATTGAGGGTGTTTATTTCCTATGGGAATGTGAACAAGGACACAGCATTTCTGAGGGGGGGGAGCTGAAGCCTAGGTGGCTTCTTTTCTCTCTTTTCTCCTTCAGTGACAGAAAACGTCAGCCTGCTTTTCTTTCTCCTAAATGACTGTCAGGAGCCCAGCTGTGAGGTAGCTTACTGACACATGAACGAGACAAGCTGTGCAGACAGGGTCATCACACCTTTTCATGCCCCACCTGCGGGAGGCCCCATAGCTGGGGACAGTTCTCTTTAGCACAGCCCAGCCTGAGTCTCTGCATTCCAGTCCTGCCTCCTCCAAATTGCTATCCCCACACGCTAATCAGTAAGTCACTCAATGAGTATTTTGGAAGGCCAACTGTGTCTGACACTAACCTAGGGGCTGGCATAGAGCAATGAGCTCAGTAGGCAGGGCCCCACTTAGAGAGCTGTGCATTCTAAAAGAGAAAAATTGGTCCAAAAAAGCAAACAGCATGTGAATCAGATAGTGACTGTAAAACGGCAGGAGGTGTCCCTCCGGTCATCCCTGGCAGAGGTGCCAGCTGCGGAAAGGAGGATGGTGCTATCTTCCTCCTGCATGGTACCCCCTCCCCATTGCAGGGGCTAACAGCCATCTGTGGGATGAGGGCCGCAGAGGCCATCCTTGTTAGCAGGGCTCTCATGGATCATCTTTCTTTCAGGCCACTGATGACAGTTGCATAGTAACAAAATGCTTCCTGGGTGGTGAGGAATACCAGTCATCTTGTGTCATATTTTTCTTCCATTTTCTTCTAAAATTTGACTATATCAGTAAAATTGTTAAAATTGTGTCCGATTCCTTCACAAACATGCATATGAATATGTATATATTCACAAATAAAAACATGTACATAAAAATTAAATATATATATATATATATATGTATATAAATAGTGCAATGGCACTATTTTGGCTCACTGCAACCTCTGCCTCCCAGATTCCAGCAATTCTCCTGTCTCAGCCTCCTGAGTAGCTGGGATTACAGGTGCCCAACACCACGCCTAGCTAATTTTTTTTTGTATTTTTAGCAGAGATGGGGTTTCACTATGTTGGCCAGGCTGGTCTCAAACTCCTGAGCTCAGGTGATCCACTCACCTTGGCCTCCCAAAGTGCTGGGATTACAGGTGTGAACCACCGTGATGGGAACTATTTCTGAACAATGTCTTACACATTATGGAAATTTACTTTAAGGCTTTCTGGTTATTAAGATTTCCCAGTCCCTTTGCTTTCTCTGGGGTATCCTATGTCATCTCTCAGATAATGCAGTAGCTTAATGAGGGTTCTGTTATAACCATTAGGTCCGTGCAGTATTCTGCTTCCACTGCCATGTGCTGTCTGGTGAGCAAAGGCAGACAGAGAGAGAGAGCCAGAAAGACCATCCAGGCTATAGGCCACACAGCAATAGCAATATTACAAATCACAAGGCCTGCAGGGCTTTGTGGAGAAAGGGGCTTAACACTATCATCAACATGTCAGGTGGGCTGTTTTTTAAATGGGCTAGGACAGAAGGCCCGTTGCATCGAGGCAATGAGAAAAAGAAGCTGATTATATCATAGTTCCAGATGACCTGGTGCATTTAATGAAAAATGCCAGCCACCAAATGTAAGTGCTGAGATAGACATCTGTGAAACATATTCGAAAAGGAGAGCAAGAGAAGTCAGTGTCAAGACTTCAGTGTAACATATGGCCCCGCCTGGCAAGTTTAACGCCCCACCCAAAGAGTTAGGGTGCCCCACTTAGAAATCCTCCCCTGCTGCACTGGGACCCAGGAGTTGGGCAGCGAGACTAAGTCCACGCCACTCCAGTATCAGCGACGCGTGACTGTCCTTTTTACTAGGACGCTTTTGTTGGGAAAACATGCTAAGACACTGAAGTGCTTTTGTTCCTTGTATTCCTCTCTATCACCTCTCCTAGATCAGTTGTCTAATTTAGGCAAATGTCTCATGTGCATTAGATATGCTCTTGCTTAGTATGGTGTGAGCTCTAGATGATCTGCCTTTAATACATTCAGTCTTAACTGAAGATTGCCAGTGGCTGGCTTACACGGGCAACTGCACACCTTTGTGAAAGCTCTTGCTCTAAGAACCCTGTGTGTAGCTGCTTCTGAGTGCAGTTGAGAACACACGTGGAAAAGCTGTGGATATTTAACACTGGAGTATATTCTGTAATGAATGGGGCTTAGTAGAATCAGGGGACATTTAATATTGATGTGCTTATCAATTACAGGGTAGCATTTTTGTCATTTTTGAAAGTGTCTTGATAAAATCCTGCATTCTGTAAATACTCACTTTGAAAAATCATCATATTGAGCCAAAATGAAAAGCTCTCTCTTGGCCACTTAGGCTGCTTAGGGAACTGCCTCAGGAAGCAAGGCCAATCCTGTTTCTGTGTTTCAGGTGCAGGATGAGAGGACCAAAGAGGAGGACAGAGCCCTGGCTTGTAGCCCCATCCAAATAACAGCGGAGAGAAGGCGGAGCCTGTGGTATGCAACCCACTACCCCACTGATGAGAGAAAAGTAAGCCATGATGAAAGGGATTTCCATTCCCTAATTTTTCTATTTTTATATTTTACTGTTGAATATGAGCCTTATACTATCATACATATAATATCATACTCAGGTTCCTGGTACTTTATAGAAAAGTTTGATTTAGGAGGGTTAGTACCAGAGAGAGAAAACTATTTCCAAAGGAAATAACCAGGTCCTGTCAAAAGCATCATTTTATATTTCCATGCTTTCTACTGAAATCTCTTAACCTTAGAAAGAGCTTTCCTAATTTAAAAAATTGTAATTAAAACAAATAAAAACAGCAAAGCAATCTGTTAGCACTGGAGGGTAAAAATTTCAATGCTGAACTATATTGCAGAAAATAATTTTACTCTGTCGGGTAGGTGGCCACAGTGGGAACTCAGTGACCACTTAGAGAAGACTCAAATGGGAATGTAACTGATGATCTCTCACTAGTTTGAGGCAACTGAGTGTACTGACAAGGAAAAGTGGGTCACAATTGGATAATTCAGATAACTCATATAGTACACATAATACAGAATATGTAATTCATATAAACTTTTGATCATGTATTGGCCATTTTGGACTGAACTCGGTCAGTGCTGTATTGACTTGTGAAAATGGCCTGTTTACAAGGTTGTAAACACAAATACTCTTAGAATTTTTGGATGGGGTCAGCATTTTGCTTTCCAGCATGTTCTAGAATTGAGGAGCGGGTTCTCTGATGGTTTTTATGGCCGTGAGTTTCTCTAAGACGCACAGCCCTACTCTCAGCACGGCTACCCTGTGTTGAGCAAGGGGACAGTAGTGAGTGAGCTGTCTTGGGGGACAGCACTGTGGGGCAGAGGTGGCACCCTAAGGCATCTGGGGATTTCCCAGCTGTTTCCTCCATTGCACTTCACCAGGTTTCAGGTTATCTTACGCATTCCACTAAATGATGAGGAAAGCCCAACTGTTTTTAAAGTGAGGCCTGTGGATCTGTGGGGGTCCTGAGACCTTTGCAGGGATTCTTAGGCTCAAAACTATTTCTGTACTAATACTTAAGATCTTTGCTTTGATGATATCAAAGCAGCAGTGGGTAAAACTACGGGCTTCTAGCACGAACCAAGGCCAGGGCACCAAAGTGCAGAGCAGTGATTGCAGATCGAGTCCTTCACTGACATGCTCTGGAGGAAAACAAAAGAAAAAGGCTAGCTCCACATAAGAAAGTTGTGATGAGCCAGAAGAGTTATTACTTTTCTTAAATCTCCACCTTGACATGCTTGTCTTTTTGATATTCTGTGTGACAAAATGAGAAGTCTGCCTAGCATGCCTTATATGAAGTGTGACAACTGTCCGTATGAGAAGTGCAGACCTACTCACTGAAAGCATTAGCTAAACTCACTGTGTTTCCGCAGCAGACTTTTACCTGAAAGAACAGCTCGTGGACTAGCATGGCTATTCTATTTGAGTTGGGCATTTGGCAGACAACTGCTTGAAAATAAATGAAGTGAGCTCATCACTTTGAGGCAAACAACTGACAGTAATTGTTATCGGTGATAAAATTTAAGCATTTGAGTAAAAATTTGAATTTTGTAAAACACATCTAATGAAGGCTTAAAAACTTTCCAGTATTTGAGGACTTTTCTGATGAGATCGGGGTGATATTGACAAATGTGCTTTTTATGCATAGCATACTGAAACATGTCAGTATTTGGTAAAGTCAATACCTGTAACTCACTGAAACAGCAGTTTCCAAATCAGCACCACCTGATATGACAGCGTGTGGGTAAATAATCCAGTTGGGGTGCATGATACGCCAGTGGCACAATCTTGGCTCACTACAACCTCCACCTCCCAGGTTCAAGCAATTCTCCTGAATCAGCCTCCTGAGTAGCTGCGACTACAGGCACGTGCCACCATACCTGGCTAATTTTTTTGAGTTTTTAGTAGAGAGGGTTTTGTCATGTTTCCCAGGCTGGTCTCGAACTCCTGAGCTCAGGCAGTCTGCCCGCTTCAACCTCCCAAAGTGCTAGGATTACAGGCATGAGCCACCACGTCCAGCCCTAAAATACTCATTTTTGACCCAACTGCATATTTATATGAAGCCAGATTTTCTTTATCTACTTCAACTGGAACACGACATCACAGCAGATTGAATGCAGAAACAGATATGAAAATCCATTTGCCTTTTATTAAACTAGACATTAAATAGATATGCAAAATTGTAAAACAATGATACTCTCTTCACTGTATGTTTTTTTTTAAAAATAGCTATTTAAATAACTTATTTATATTAACACATAATGGGTTTTTTAATTTTTTAATTAATAAATATATAAGTAAATAAATATTTTAAGAATACCTTGTATAATTTCTAGTATGGTAGATATTGACAGATAGACACACATAAATACAGTCTCTTTGGAACCATCAGTGATTTTTAAGAATGCAAATGAGTCTTGACCTAAAAATGTGATAGAACCACTTGCTATGCTAATTATTATTTGGGGGAAATGGAAATTGCCTGGTAATAATGTATTAATAGTTAAAAAGTAGAGTCATATAATAATCATTTTGTTGTAGACAGTACGCAAATCTTAATCTCAAACCACATTACAAATCAATTTCTCTTTCTTATGAAAATTCTATTTCTTGAAACGTAAATACATTCAGAATTCTGCAGATGTCTCAAAGGAGTGTAAAACTAAGCAGCTTATTCTTGTAAAACATCACCCTTGAAAAACCTGGTAACATTTATAGACGTGTGGTTGCTTATCTGTTGTTATAACTAAACATTAACATCAGGAGCTGTGAAATAGTTGTCCTAAACAGCAGCATCCAGTTCAATTATTTGTCCCTTTATATTTTGCATGGCAATTTTAATATACTAGCATCCAACAAGTTAAAGAGAATGGGTGTGTGCACAGTAAAACTTTATAGATACATAAACAGCAAAATGCTTTTAGCTTCCTTACTAACGTGCTTCCCTGCATTGCTTTTTGCAGCTTTTGTCCATGACCCAGGATGACTACAAGCCATCTGATGTTAGTATACCCTTAGAATTATCATTTATGCATGTGTAAGTGATGTAAAAGTGCCAGAAATGGAAGTCGCTCCTTTAAGTCCATTTTAATGATCTATAAAATTTCCATAAGCTTTTCCATTTTTTGGCATAAATTATATCTGGTAGATTGCTGTTAGAATGAGATTGAGTATAATCATACAAAATATATTTAACTTTTAACAAGCTTTGTGGGCTTTTTAAAAAGCATTTTGTTCTGTAGCTATGCTTATTACATAAGTGGGAAGTTTCTCATGTCCCTGGGCGCACATACACATACGTATAGGTGGGTGTCATGTTTATCTCAAAAATTGTAAAGTCAAAGAGACAGAAGGAGGAAACAGGCAATTGCCCTGAGTGGTGTAGTAAGAACATTGCAACCTCCAGTCAGCCAGAGATCCCCAGAAGGTGACCTCTCAGCTAAGATCCAAGGATGTTTGCATTAGTCCGGCGCAGAGCCACATAGGGCATAAGGCAGGACAGTGCTGGACCATGGCCCAGGAAAGGTCTAGAATCCCATATAGCTGGAGGGATGGCTGAGAAGTGAACAGTAGCAAAGACTGAGGCTGGAAAGATCAGAACAAATCTTGAAGACCTCCTTCAGCCTTTCACAAGAGTTTGCTCTTCATACTGAGGACGGCGGGTACATAGCATGGTTTATGGCAAAGTGCAACAAAATCAGATGCACATTTTCCTGCGATCACTCTGTGGAGACTAGAATTGGAGAGGGAATGTAAAAGATTCCTCTTACTAAAATAATTTGGACAATTGGCTAAGTTATTTAGCTTGCAATCGACTCCTCACTGTTTGATTAGGGTGGAGGAAGGGAGGTGGGGGTATGCCTACATTGAAAACCCAGACCTGCTGTGACAGGTGTCCCTCTCCCTGCACTCCCGGCAGGGCCTGCTGGTGACTGTGAATGGCAACCCCGTGGATTACCACACCATCCACCCCACCCTACCCATGGAGAATGGCCCCGGCAAAGCCGACCTCTATTCCACCCCTCAGTACCGATGGGAGCCCTCTGATGAATCCTCAGGTAGGAGCCAGCCCTGGGGGCACATGCTGTACTCAGGGTTGTACTTATCCCGCATTTAGAAGCTTGGCCTTTCTCTATCTTCTTGTTGCTGTTGTTGTTGCTTATTTGATTTTTGTTTTAAAACAGAGGTGTTATCTTTCATGTCAGTATCATTAAGCTCATTTCTTTAAATTCTGCCTGCATTTTGTCCCAGCATATTGCTAGTTGTGTTCTATCTTTGTATACAAAATAATTGACTTAACTGGGGCAAACTTTGAAAATAAAAGGTGAAAACAATATTTTAAACATGTTAACTTAGGTATAGCATATATATTATGTATGTCGGTCTTTCTTTAGTTGATATTATAATTATGGTCAATGGTTTTTCTGGTTAATTTGTACGTGGGGTGTGTGTGTGTGTGTGTGTGTGTGTGTGTGTGTGCTCTGTCTCCCAGGCTGGAGTGCAGTCGCAAGATCTCAGCTCACTGCAATCTCTGCTTCCCAGGTTCAAACAGTTCTCCTGCCTCAGCCTCCTGATTAGCTGGCACTACAGGTGCTTGCTGCCATGCTCAGCTAATTTTTTGTATTTTAGTAGAGATGGGGTTTCACTCTGTTGCCCAGGCTGGTCTCGAACTCCTGAGCTTAGGCAATTTGCCCACCTTGGCCTCCCAAACTGCTAGGATTACAGCCGTGAGCCACCACGCTCAGCCGAGTGTTTTTTAAGAGTTCTTTTTTGTCCATTAAAAAAAACGAAGTTGTCTAAACTTTTACAAGTCTTTTTCCTCCCTTTTCTTTCAGTTTTTTATGTTGAAGAAGAGCATTAATATTAAAGATGACAAATTGGTAGCCTGGAGCTAAGTTTCACTCTCAAATTTCATTTTTGGACTGTGCAGCATTTTTAAAAAGTTTAAATAGCCATCACTTTTTAAAAGCTGCACTTCTGACCTAGAAATGGACATTTCTGGAATCCCTTGAAGAATGTGAAGGTCTGGCAACACTAGTCCCTCAACTCTATAAAACAGCAGTTAGCTGGACCTCTATTGCCATTGCTCCTGCAAGGGACCAATTGCCACTCACAAATCCATAAAGACAGAATTACAAAGTGACTATAAAACTCGAGTGGATTTGCATCTCTATTTGTATGTAATTACAGTCAGAGTTCTCAGACTTTGTCCTGCCTTAGCTCGTGGCCAGCAGCTCTCCAATTTGCATCTGTGGTACATCATGCTTACTCCAGGGGCCTTTTTTCATAATTCTTTATCAGACCTATTCTGATGTCTATTCTTCATAATTCTGTATCAGTACTTCCTGCAATTTCTCCACAGGGCTTCTTAATACTTAACTGTACAACTGGTTAGTCACATTATCCAACATTCCTCAGCGAGGTTAAATCAAGGTCAGCCACCACCCCCCCTGCCACCCTCACATCCAACCCCTGATGGCACCTGATAGCTGCACAGCGTCGAACTCTGCTGGGTCGTTCCCCATTTCTGCTTCCTGCGTGCCTGTGTTTTAGTTTGCAGCTCAGGCTTAAGAGGGAGAGTTCAAGGAAACAGTCCTTTCGAGTGTGCTCTTTAGAGCATGGACAATAGAAGCAAAGAGGCAGGGCCCTAGAATCGCCATGTGTGGCTTCCAATGTTTGAGCTGTTGGGGTCACAGCCTATTCACCCTCCTACTTACCCATTACTTTCCTGAGAACAAATAAATAGAATTTTGACTGCTGACAAGGTCAACCCAGACATACTGAAATCATAAATGGGCTTTCAAAAGTGAAACAAAAGCGGGAAAGCTTTTAAAAATTGAATCTATATACACAAAAAGTGTCACAACAAGAAAGGTAGCGTGGAAGTAACTCTAAAATCCATCAGATTTGGCATTTTCACCCCTGTCTATGACCCAGGGGCTTTTTTTGTATAAACCCCAGGTTCATCCAGTCCTACTGCCGGAGGAATGAGAACCAGTGGGCTTCTGCCAAGGACACGCCATAGTCTCATTGTGCAGCCCATGTGGAGTAGCATGCACAGTCACTGATTTTTCAGTCATTTATACCTCTTCTTTATGCTGCTAGGGAACTTTCTGCTGTAACCCACTTATACATAGCCCATTTGATTTGAACAAGAAAGACAGAAAGGACATTCTACTTACTGGCTTAGAGCAACACTTAGTACGGTACACTTTCTCTGGACCAGAAACCTGGGCATCACTAGGCTGGTTCCTCTGGCTCAAGGTTGTTCATGAGGTTGCAGTCAAGCTACTGGTTGGGGCCACTGTCTCATCTGAAGACTTACCTTGGGGAGAATCTGTTCCCAAGCTCACTTGTATATAGCCTCAGGCTCTTGCTGACGTCCGGCTGGCGGAGCCATCAGTTCTCAAACTTTGGGCTCCCCATAGGGCAGTTTACAGCATGGTAGCTGGCTTGTCTGAGGACAAGCAGGTGAGAGAATGAGAGAGAGCACTCAAGGTGAAACCACAGTCTTTTTAAATGAATCTTGAAAGTGACCCTTCGTCCACTCTGAAGTGCCCTATTCGTATTAGAAGCCTGTCACAGATCCCACCCACACTCAAGGGGAAGGGACAGAGAAGAGCATGAACACCAGGAGGCGGGGGCTCTGATGACGGCTTATAGGCTTCCTTCCATACCCTCTCACATGGAAATTTTCCTTGCTCAATTACTACATGCTTGGTCCCATTACACTGACCAGGCAGAACTTATTGATTCTGCTTGAATTCTAACGGCTTTATGAATAGGAAACAATTTCTGAAGTCTTAAATAAAAGGCTATACCAAAATCATACGTGTGTTGCATTGATTGGAACATTTATACAACCGTCACATTTTTGCATAAATAGTTAAATAAAGTATTTGTCCATCTAGAAAAGCCAGAGGAGGAAGAGGAGGAGAAAGAAGAATTTGAAGAAGAAAGGAGCCGTGAGGAAAAAAGAAGTATCAAAGTTCATGCCATGGTCTCCGTGTTCCAATTTATTATGAAACAAAGTTACATCTGTGCCCTCATAGCTATGATGGTATGTATGATATGATGGTACATATGATATGATGGTGTGTAAGAAGTGATGGTACACATGATATGATGGTATGTACTATATGATATGATGGTGTGTATTATATGATATGGTATGTGCAATATGATATGATGGTATGTGTGATATGGTATGTGTGATCTGATGGTATATATGAGCAGCAGCCGCCAAGGTGCTAAAGAAAGGAGACCACAGCCCCGCTGACTCTCAGTGCTGTTACCCTCTCAGGGCCAGCAGAAGTATAGGAATCTCCCTGATGTGTTGGTAGAGAATAGTCAGCTGTGTTAATTTTTCATAGGATATTTGTACTACAGATTGTAAAGTTATGTCCTTTTCAACTCTATTTATCCTCCTTTTAAGTATTAATACATTTCTTTCAAGTTAGCTTATCAAGTCAGACTATCCCTTATTTTGCCAATTTGAGAGGACATATGAAGCAGGTTTTCTTAATAAAATTGAATATCTTCAAGGTTAACATAGGCTCCTTTTATTCCTTTCAGATAGTAAGAGTTATATTCACATCATTTCTTAGATTTGGATGAGATGTTATTCCATCTTAGCTGCAATAACTTTTTACCAATATGAGCATCAAGCCACTGTGCAGTTCCCTAGAGCGTCTTCCAATTGTCAGCTCTCGGTTTATGCGTGTTTCTACTCACCATCTGCAACATCACAGCTTCAAAATAGTCCCTTGGCCCATAGATAGAAGAGAAAAGAAGCTCTAATCTCTCCCTTTCCTAAAAACAAATTTTCTCAGAAAATTTGATTTATTTTTGAGAAACCTAACATTCTTGTTTAAAATACAACTCTTCCAAATTTGGTGGTCAACAGTGAGACCCTATGGACACCTCTGATGATAAAAATAAAAATATTCTATAACTCAAGGGAAATAAAATCGAGACACAGTTTCCCCAGGCACTCAATCCAGGTGCTTTCCAGATGAACCTGTGCACTGCTCAACTTCAGTTTCCAGTAAGGAACACGGCCGCATTTGAGAGGAGACTGTGAAAAAGAAAGCACCACAAAATTGCAGGTGCTAATTTGGGGACTGCCAACACCATTCTTTAAATAAAATTAATTATGTGTGTTTTTGTTACTTTTTGACCTTTTCTCTACATCAACCGCGACTTTAAACTGCAGCAAATCTCTGATTCTGAACTCAGAAAAGTATTCTCTTTTTTCTCTCTCTCTCTATGCCAGATAATTTTGGTCTTTTCTTTAAAGCAATAGAACTAAAAAATAAATAAATAAAGTAAAACATTTGACTATACATTTTCTTACTTCACTGAAATAAATCTATTGCAAAAATAACACAATTCTTTATTAAAAACATGCCCTCGTCTGGTAGCATTCTGCGGTGTTAATGGAGCCACAGTATTAATGCTTTAAGAGCTCCTGCCTTCCAAGCCGTCACTCCATGACTTGGGGTCTCTGTCACTCCACTACAACTCTCTGCTCTCCCTGGTTTGCGTATTATTGACATTTTCTTTTCAGATAGCTTTTACCTTACAGGGTGGGGGTACCGAGCATTGTATTGACCAAGGTGTTGTTTCCTTTTCTGTCCTCCGGAGGCCTGGAGCATCACTTATCACAGCTGGCTGACCTTCGTGCTACTGATCTGGTCGTGCACTCTTTGGATGATTCGCAACAGAAGAAAATATGCCATGATCAGCTCTCCCTTCATGGTGGTTTATGGAAACCTATTGTTGATATTACAGTATATATGGAGTTTTGAACTTCCTGAAATTAAAAAGGTTCCAGGATTTTTAGAAAAGAAAGAGCCAGGAGAACTTGCTTCCAAGGTAAGTGAATAGAATACAATATAACAAAGCAATGACACAAAACCACAATCATCATGATCATATCCAAGAGAAACCTTACCAATATTCACTGCTTTATAAAAACAAATAAATATGAGACTGTAAGAAACAATTTACGGTGCTTAGAGGTCTCCATAATTTAAACATGAATATATATTACACCATGATTTAGCTTTTACTTAAAAATTTTTTTTTCCACTCAAAGAAAACTTGTATACATTTTTTAAATATATATATATATTTAATATATTCTACTAAAGTAAAAATTAGATGTGAAAATGGAAAAATGCAAGATAAAATGTGTTAAGGGGTTTCAGGGCTCTCTTTGATTATCAATTTATAAAACACACTTAACACATTAGTGTTACAGATAAGTATTGATTATTCATGATATTTTCCTCCAATTCTGTCGTAAAGAACATTTTAACAGCAAAAATTAAGTATGACATTTGCTTTTTTTCTTCTACTGATTATATGATACGTCTTTATCTGAGTTAGAATGTTCATACTCTTTTCATTACTCATTTGTTTTCATGGGCCATTTTAATGGTTTTTATTTCAAAACATTAGGTTTCCCAACTTACTGTTTGTTTTGTTAACAAAGCGGCAGACTAAACACACATTTCCTTTGTGTGAATAATTTTGTTTTAAGACAGTAAAAGTAAACGTGTATATGTTGAATGGGTCTTGGAAGTTAGTATCTCTGGAGGAGGCGGTCATTTACATCACATGAAATTCACCTTTCCTAGGAGCAACTGCCTGCTTTAAGGGCTATCACACACCCCATATCCAAGGTAATCAGGGTAAATGGGGTAGAGAAGATGAGGGCAAAGTTTGGTCTTCATAACAGATTTCTGGGTGAAGGGCTACTGGGGTAAATGAAACACATTCTAACAGGTGAATTCTAGTGACAGCTAGAGGTGAGAACATAACCCCTGTGTTCATGTACCAAGGGAATTTCATTCATTGATTCATTCATCCCAAACTCCCATGCCTGCTTCTTCTCCTTACCCTGCTCCACGCTGAAAAATCCCATGCTGTGCTCTCACTTACATGTCAGCTTTATCTAATACTCTTGCTCTCTCTCCCTCTCTTTCCTCTTAAACACAGACCCACACACAGATATTCACACACAACTGGTTAAGTTAGTCTACTTCTATTTTTAAAAAATCAAAATTATATTCTTTTCACTGTGTAAATTCATCACAGTCTGACTCTGAAACTGCTAAAAATGCATGCCATCTTACTAGTTGAGTTATCTCATGTCGAATCTAAAATTAACTGTTCTTTAGGAGGAAAACATTATTTGGGAAATAAATTTGTTACTCGTGGGAAAAAAAAGTTATTCTGGGAATCTAGGTCTGCACTTACATTTTAATGCACCCAGGAACTCAAAAACAGTGAAAAGTTTTGACATAGGGGATAGCAATACATCTCCAGGCTTATAACATTTCTATCACAATACCATTTGTAAAACACATTTTTAAACACACACTGTTTACGGAGTACTGGATGAGTCACTGTGATGGAGAGAGAACAGAATCTCGCCCTCAGTCCTCAAGGGTCTGAACCCCTTCCATGGAGCCAGACTCACGTGCTTGGCAGCATTCCTCAGTCCCAGATCATCTCATTTCTGGCTCCATCAAGCACTATCAAGGCCTTTTATTAAATAACTCACCTTCTCTAAGAATGATGTCCCACCTGCTCTCAATTACTCTTAACCTCTCTGAATATGCATTGGAGAAACAATTTTTTCCCAATTGGCAGCTATAGTTCAATTCATAGTGACTTCCAGAATTTTAACTTCAGATTTCCATAAATGTAGGCACTCTGGTTCTTGATTTCATTAGGCCCTGGGCATATTAACCAGGACTTACTGGCACTAGTCTATATTGAAAGTAAATGATAAGTAGACACTTATGGATAGGTAAGTGGTCAATTCAAAGTGAAAATGATGTATTTATATTTATTTATACCTTATTTTATTTTTTCACTTCATTGGCAAATATTTATAAAAAGCCTGCTATGAACCACAATGAGATGCCACCTCACGTCTACTAGGATGGCTATAATTTTTTAAAAAGGCAGATAATACTCAATGTTACTGAGGACATGGAGAAGTTGAAACTGTCACACGCTGCTGGTGGAAATGTAAAATGGTGCAGCAACTTTGTAAAATAAAGTTCCAATTCCTCAAATTGTTAAACATAAAATTACTGTAAAACTAGTAATTCCAGTGGTAGGTTCATTTACCCAGAAGGATTGAAACCATTTGTCCACATAAAACCTTGTATGTGAATGTTCATAGCAGCATTATCCATCATAGCTAAAATACAGAAATGATCCAAATGACTATTAGCTAATGAAAGGATGAAACATATGTCCATGCAATGGAATATTATTGGGTAATTTTAAAAGATAAAGAATTATACATGCTGCAAGTGGATCAACCTTGAAAACATTACGCTAAGTAAAAACAATCCATTTATGAAAGTCTACATAGTACATAATTTCATTGATATGAAATTTTCAGATTAGGCAAATCTATAGAGACAAAAAGTAAATTCATGGTTGGCTAGAGCTGAGATAAGGAGAAAAGGAAGTAACTGCTGTCAGGGTTGATGAAAATGGTAGTAAAATGGATTGTAGTGATGGTTGCACAACTCTGTGAATATGCTAAAAACCACTGAATTATACGATTCAAATGGGTGAATTGTACGGTATGTGAATTATATCTCAATAAAGCTATTTTTAAAAACCTAGTGTGTGTGGCTGGGCGTGGTGGCTCATGCCTGTAATCCCAGCAGTTTGGGAGGCCAAGGCAGGCTGATCACTTGAGGCCAGGAGGTAGAGACCAGCTTGGCCAACATGGTGAAACCCCGTCTCTACTAAAAAAATACAAACATTAGCCAGGTGTGGTGGTACATGCCTGTAATCCCAGCTACTTGGGAGGCTGAGGCAGGAGAATTGCTTGAATCCAGGAAGCAGAGGTTGTGTTGAGCTGAAATTGTTCCATTGCACTCCAGCCTGGGCAACAAGAACAAAACCGCCTCTAAGGCAAAAACAAAAACAAAAAACTACTGTGTGTTAGGTACTGTATTTCCTAAACAATGGAGTTCCCCAAAATCAAAAGATGTTTGGTTTCTTAGTCCTCAAGAAAATGCTACTATAAAAGCATTGCCACTTAGAACTAATATCCCTTCAGCTTTAGAAGATTAATAATAAGGAGTTCTGTGTTCTGGGATGAAGTTTTCCTTTTCCCATCTATGGAATTCTTTAAAATAAGGAATGTTGCAGAGTCAAGGGAGTATTATCCAGTATTATGGATGAAGTATATCTTCCTCTTATAATTGTAATGATGTCACAGTCAGGTGGGAATCAGCCAAGGACCAGCATCTCAAGGGAGACCACTTGCCGCAGCTGATTTCCTGCCCAGGTGGAAGTCATTTGAAATATTGTGCTCATCATCCTCAGGCCTTGCATGGTGCTCCTGGCACCCAACACAGGCATGGGAGCATCCTTGGATAAGGGACTTAAAAGCAGTGAATTTCAGTTGAAATCAAGTGGGTTCCCTGACTCTGTCTCCAATAAAATGGTTTATTTTTTGTGCTTTCACTGAAATGTGGAGAAAATGTTATATTTATTGAAACATGTTTACATTCCAAATAGTTGCTTAATTCTTGTTTTGCTGCCTCTCTGCTTCCAGATTCTTTTCACCATTACTTTTTGGCTACTGCTGAGGCAGCACCTCACAGAGCAAAAAGCTCTGCAAGAAAAGGAAGCTCTTTTATCGGAAGTCAAAATTGGCAGTCAGGAAAATGAAGAAAAAGGTAAATTAGTACATATGCTAAGTGGCTGGAGAGTTTGCTGCACAGCAAAATTACAGAGAAAGAGCCCCCAAATACAGCAGGAAGCTTCAGAATAAATGGAAGTGGAATGTAAACTTGGAGCGTTAAGTAACATTATTATAGCTTGTAACTTTTGAAGTACACATGAGAGTTCCAAAGGAGTGTTTAAAATGTGCCATTTGATTCTCACAAAGGTGATTCCCAATGAAAGAGAAACTGAGGCTCAGAGAAATTAAATGGTTTCTCCCAGGTCATACTTATAGTGAGTATTGGAACCAAGAAACTGACTCACATCTTTTAAATTTAAAGCTTCTTTCTTCTTTCTTAAAAATAATAAACCACAATGTAAAAACAGAGGATGATGATGTTATCAACATTGATAGGTTTTAGACATGCTATATAAGCAAAATAAGAAGAGCTTGTTCCCTAACTCCCTGAATACACAAATAATTGTAAGGTTAATATTTGTAGAATGGATTGAAGACTATTAGTGCGGTTAAGAAGCACTATCTGTGAAAAGAAGTCTATAAATATCCACAGAAGCTGGGCTGGTACCCTAAGACTAAACCAGTAACCGCAAGAATCAATACAGACCAACATATGTATATATATATATATATATATATATACACACACACACACACACAATATGTATATAAAATATATAATAAAAAATATATATTTGTATAATATATATATTTTATATAATATAAATATATACATAAATATGTATCTATATAATTCATATTACATATAATATTTATAAAATATATATTATATATTAAACATATATAATATGTATTTATATATACATATATTATATATACATATTATATGTATTGTATATTATATATGTATTATATTACATATGTATTATATATTATATATAATATATGTAATATGTTATCATATATTATATAATATATATTGTATGTATTATATATATTATGTATGTAATATATAATATATAACAAAAATATATATAAATATATAGTATAAATACTTATATATAAAATATATAAATATATATTATTTATATATAATACTATATGTATAATAGAAAATATATAAATATATTTCTTATAGATATTTATATACAAAATATATAAATATATTTTTATATTTATAAAATATATAAATATTTATAATAAAATAATATATATTTATATTATATAATATTTTATATAATATAAATTATATATATTATATAATATATAGTATAATAAATAATAATATAATCTATAATATAATATATAACAATATATTATAATGTATAATATATATTATATACACACATATATTATATCGTATATACACAGATATAATATATATTTATCATACATATTTATCTATATATAGTATATATTTATATATAGATACATAATTTATATTATACAATATATTACAATGTATATATTACAATATACACAGATATAATGTATATTTATCTTACATATTTATCTATATATAGACATATATTTGTCTATATATAGATACATATTTATATAAATATATGAATATATATTTATATATAATATATATGAATATATATTTATACATAATATATATTATGTATTATACATATTATATATTATTTATTTATATATGTGTATGGAGATATATTATTATATATATCTGTATAATATATAGATATGTATTTATGACACCCTACACAGGCATGGGAGCATCCTTGGAAAAGGGACTTAAAAGCAGTGAATCTCAGCTAAAATCAAGTGGGTGCCCTGACTCTGTCTCCAACAAAAAGATTTATTTTTTGTGCTCCCACTGGAAAGTGGGGAAAATGTTATGTTTGTTGAAACATGTTTACATTCCAATAAAATACATATATTATTTATGCACATATCTATCTATATATAGATATATATTTATATATAGATAAATATCAACATATATAGATATATAGATAACATAATCTAATATATAGATACATATATACATATATTAGATTATATGTTATCTATATATATCATATGTCTATATATAGATATACGTTAGATCTTTAGATATATAGATATATATTATATTATATTATATATATAATATATATATGTCCATACACACACATCCATGCACACACACACACACACAATTATGCTTAGTTTCTTATTTAGACCTAACCAATAAGTTGTTTTTTAGGGACAAAAGTCTGTCTATAAGATTTAAATCTTGACTACATGAGTTTGGATGTCTCTGTTCAACATAGTGATTAAATTAATCGACTAATTTTGGTAAAAAATGGTTAATTTGAGATCAACAATTGCTCTGAACCCTCACTTGATTTTCACTCTCCTCACTCTGTGAATCTACTAGTTGTTTGAATAAATTATTCCCATTAACCCAAATAATTATTTTGAAATAATTATTCAAGTTCTTTGAATATAAGGCTTTGTAACACAGAGATGAGTCCTATGTATTAGCATATTTTAAAGCAAGACAAAATACATTTTTTATTTCAATCCACTAAATTGTTTTATACTTAAATTACAATCACTCTTTCAATCTAACTTAAATTATGTTTGGCTGTAACTCATAAATTTCTAGTTATTTAAAAGCATGCTTTTTGGTTAAGGTTGTTAGCATTAACCACATTTGGTAAAGTACTGCTTGGCTTGTCTAGTTGTGAAACAATTAGAATTTGCAATTGATATAGTCATTTTGATTTGTGCTGTTGTTGCCTATTTATTTTTTACACCTCACAGTACTTAAAGTTATTACTGGATATCAGAAATAAAAAAGACCTTGTACATAAATTAGTATTACCAAATTTATTTTCTTGTAAACTATATTTTGGGAAGGTTATGAAAATCGACTTTTAATCTAGTCATGAATGTTGCCATGTTTATGAGAATAGTCTAAAATCATTCAAATCATATAATAACTTAGAAAATACATGCCCCTACACCCTGCATATATCACACACGGTCAAAGTGTGGTTCTGCACAGATAACCAGCTAAGTATAACAGCATGGTTTTCTATTTTGAAGATGAGGAACTTCAAGATATACAAGTGGAAGGAGAGCCCAAAGAGAAGGAGGAAGAAGAGGAAGCAAAGGAAGAGAAGCAAGAGAGAAGGAAGGCAAACGAAGAGGAAGTTGAAGAAGAAGATGAGCAGGACATCATGAAAGTCCTGGGCAATTTGGTGGTGGCCATGTTCATCAAGTACTGGATCTACGTCTGCGGAGGCATGTTCTTCTTTGTCAGCTTCGAGGGTAAAATTGTAATGTACAAAATCATCTACATGGTGCTGTTCCTGTTCTGTGTGGCCCTGTATCAGGTAGGTACACAGTTGTTCATTTTAATTCTCACGTCTGTCCCAGGTGTATACATGCGATACCTTTGCAGAGGTTCTAAATCACTAGACTCTCATGAACATAGGTCAAGTGAGTGGCAAGATGCAAACGTTATATCCCAAGAATCCTAAAATGGGAAATGACTGTATTCAGCTTATTTACTATTTCAAAATTTTAGGTTTGGGTACAGCGGATCATGCCTGTAATTTCAGCAATTTAGGAGGTTAAGGCAGGAGGACTGCTTGAGGCCATGAGTTCCAAACCAACCGGGTCAATATATTGAAACCTTGTAGCAATAAAAAATTTTCTTAAATTAAAAAATTAGCCAGATGTGGTAGCACGTACCTATAGTCCTAGCTTCTTGGTAGGCTGAGGCAGGAGGATCACTTGATCCCAGGAGGTCAAGGTTGCTATGAGCTATGCTAGTACCACTTCACTCCAGTTGGGCAACAGATTAAGATGCCACTTCTAAAAATAGTAAAAATAAAAATTTTAGGTTGTTGAAAAATCAGGAAAAAGTTCATACATAAGTTTTCCAAAAATTATTAACCAACAAATCTGTAAAATAGAATTACATTTCTTTCTTTTCTTTCTCTTTCTTTCTTTTTTTTTTTTTTTTTTTTTTTTTTTTTTTTTTTTTTTTTTTTTTTTTTTTTTTTTTTTTTTTGTTGTTGTTCGTTTGTTTGTTCATTTGTTCGTTTGTTTGTTTGTTTGTTTGTTTGTTTTGAGACAGTATCTTTCTCCATCCCTTAGGCTGGAGTGCAGTGGCATGATCTCTGCTGATTGCTCTCAGCAATCTAGGCCTCCCAGGTTCAAGTGATGCTCATGCCTCAGCTCCTGAGTAGCTGGGATTCCAAGCATGCACCAACATCTCCAGCTAATGTTTGTATTCTTAGTAGAGACAAGGTTTCACCATGTTGGCCATGCTGGTTTCGAACTTCTGGCCTTAAGTGATCTGCCCACCATGGCCTCCCAAAGTTCTGGGATTACACGCAGGAGCCACTACACCTGGCCTGTAAAATTGAATTATGTTTTAAAACAGTAATTTAAAAGCTAGATCATCTGAAATAGTGGAGTATTCCTAGGTATACTTTTGTACTTCAGGCTTTGGGGTCAGAAAATGATTATGTGTGTGTGCATGTGCCTGCGTATGTATACACATATATATGTACAGTGCATTGACTGCTTTCATATTTCATTACTTAAAAGGATTTCATTCATTAAAATAATTTAGCATATGAAATACATTAAAATGAGTTAGCTCTCCACAGACTCACTTTCAACTGATGATAAGAGAATCCAATAATAGAAACACATAGAACAGTAAATTATCTTGCACGTAGCCAACAAAACAAATAAAGGAACTACAGTAAACAAGAGTATGTCACATGTCAAGGTAAAAAACTTCAAAAGAAATCAGTGAACTCTTGAATACTCTTAAAAATTCAGGATGATGGCTGGGCGCGGTGGCTCAAGCCCGTAATCCCAGCACTTTGGGAGGCCAAGGTGGGCGGATCATGAGGTCGAGAGATCAAGACCATCCTCGCCAACATGATGAAACCCCGTCTCTACTAAAAAAATACAAAAATTAGCTGGGCGTGGTGATGCACGCCTGTAGTCCCAGCTGCTTGGGAGGCTGAGGCAGGAGAATTGATTGAACCCAGGAGGCAGAGGTTGCAGTGAGCTGAGATCATGCCACTGCACTCCAGCCTGGTGCCTGGCAACAGAGTGAGACTCTGTCTCAAAAAAAAAAAAAGAAAATTCAGGGTGGTGTTCTCTAATGAATATCCACAGCTTATGGTCAAATGAGATGTCTTTCTTCTGTGGTTGTTTCACACTTTCATTCACACAATATTGCTTTCAATTTCAAATGGATGTGGTTTTCTCTGAGTAATGATAACCACAATGACAGCAGCACCTACCCTACTGTTCCTTGAGTGCCTTCTATGGGACAGATAGCTAGCAGGAACCTGTAAATACTATCTCTTTCATCCTCGTAGCAACCCTGCAAAATAGGCGCTTATGGAGAAGCTCAGGAAGGCTCACCCACGTCTCCAAAGACACAGTTAGCAACCATGCATAGAATTGGGGTTCTAACCCAGAACCACTCCAATCTGTTAGGCATGGAATATTAAAAACCAGACATGAAATAGACTTTATTTTCAGACATTTGTAGATGCAATCACTTGTCTTAATTGAATGAACCAAATATTTTTGTGAGTTTTTCTATAAGTAATTTTTTTTCTCATTTGTTTTTTTCAATATCTGATTTGCAGGTGCATTATGAATGGTGGAGGAAAATTCTAAAATATTTTTGGATGTCAGTGGTTATTTACACTATGCTGGTGCTTATCTTTATATACACATATCAATTTGAAAACTTCCCAGGCCTGTGGCAAAATATGACTGGATTAAAAAAAGAAAAGTAAGTAATTTTGAGTTGAAAATGATGAACAAGGTGAAGACTTGAATGCATATTGTTCAAAACATCTTTAAGGAAGAGTTTAGTAAAGCATGATGTCATCAATGTCTATTAAGTTCCTAAAGAACAGAAATTAAAACTTAGTCATTCTGTGTTACATTTACTTAGCCCGTAGGAACATGTAGGCACCCCATGAATTTTCAGCCCCATTTGAGTGAAATAATGTTTTCTAATATTAGTTTCATGTGAAACAACACACCTAGCACTTAGCCACACTTTCTGCTCTCCAAATTGGAGCTCAGTTCTTTAGTTAATAAGTAAGTTCATGCACTTATAACATAAAGCAGCAGCCTTTGCTCATTTATGTTGCCAGGTGCTTAGGTTCTAAGGAGTGTTTAGTGCCATAAAGAAATAAATTTCTCTAAGTGCTAATAGACTTGTGATGATAAGATGGTTTTTCCTGTGGATGTGGTAGATAGCTCCCTATCCTGTTCTAATTTGCTTCTGTAAACTTCTGAAATTAGTTTGGAAATCCAGCCAGCATTGGGTTTTGAGCTGAATATATCAAAGTGGCTGAGAGAAGGATTTAGAAGGGAAGGATAACTGAATAACTAGACCAACACAACTGAAGTGTCTATGCAATAATCATTTATTAAATGCTGGCCATGTGCTGACACTGTTTTGTATCTGGGATATGACAGGTAACAAGACAGACAAAAATCTAAGCCCTGTAGATCTTAAATTCTAGCAGAGGAGACAAACACGAAAACTACATAGTGCAAAATATACTACAATTTGTGACAGGTCTGTGACAGAAACAAACAGCAGGCTGAGGCAATGAATAAGGGGGAACTATAAATGAGTGATCGGAATGGGCTTCACTGAGGAGCTGGTTTAAACTCCAGCTGAAGCATAAGAAGAAGTTTATCTTAGGAAAAGCATGTGAGTTGGAGGCCTGGGTGTAGAGGGCATTTCAGACAGAGGGAACAGCACATGCAAAGGCGCTGAGGCAAGTCAGTTTGGCACAGTGCATAAAAGAAACTGAAGAAAGGGGGTGAGTGGACAGAGAAGAGGGGAGAATTCAGGCAGGCAGCTGGAACGTGCATGGCTCGTAGGTAGCATGATTTTGTTTTATTTTTGGTGGAATTTTCCAATCTTTAAAATTGACTAGCTGAGAAAAAGCAATGTGTGGGCGTAGAAACAATGAGACAAGTTAGTAGGCACCAGCAGTGGTCCTGTGAGAAATGATGGCAGCTTCCCCTAGATTGAGTGGGGGCAGAGATGGATAAGAGGAGTTGGCGATTCAGGAGGTGCTTAGGATGCTGAAGGACATGTAGACGAATGAGATATGAAAGAAAAGAACATAGGAGACGTCTGACTTCTCAATTGCACAGGGTAGACAGTTGTACCATTTATTGGTCCAGGGATACTAGAATGGGGAGAGGGATGTGGAGGACAGCTTTGCTAAGAAAAATAGGAAAATCAAGAATACTATTTTGGAAGCACTAAATATGAAATAACTGTGAAACAACTGGTTTCCAACAGCAATTTGGGCTTGAGACTCTTACAGGAGGAGGCTGTGCTGTAGATGCGCTTTGAGTCCTCAATGTAAGGATGATGTATAAAGAGGTGAGATTACCTAGGGGGAAAGCACAGGTGGAAGATCAAAACTGAGTCCTGGGGATATTTCAGCCTCTAGAGATCCAATAGAAAAGGAGGAGATCATGGAGGAACAAGAAACCGTGATAGTGTGATGGCGTCAAGGCCACGTGATCTTCAAGGAGGACCAGAAGTTCAATTAAATAAAGCTAGAGAAGTAGCCTTTGAATTTGGCAATGTCAAGGTTTTTATTGACCATTGTTAAAGTAGGTTAGTTGGCTTGATGGAAACGAAAGCTGTATTGCACCCCATGGGAGAGAGGGATGCAATAAACGATAGAGCTGGCAGGAGTGTAAGACTGTGATGTAATTTATCACAAAGAGTCTGTGACTTCATTGCTTAAGAGAGGTTCCTGCTTTTTATCGTGTTTTGTTTTGCAGGCTCGAGGATCTTGGCTTAAAGCAGTTTACTGTGGCTGAACTATTCACTCGCATATTCATCCCAACCTCCTTTCTGCTGGTGTGCATTTTACACCTGCACTATTTCCATGACCAGTTCCTTGAACTCACAGACCTCAAGTCCATTCCCAGCAAAGAAGACAACACCATCTACAGGTGAGCCACTGAAAGAAACAGACTTCTTGTTAACAGGAAGGCAGCCTGTTTAGGTTGGTCACCTTGCAGGAAGCCAGCAATCTAAGAGTTTCAGCCTTGAATTTTCCATGAGTATCAACTTGTGAGAAAAAGAGGAAGACATGTGGAAGAGTCTATGACATGTTCTGAAACAATGGGTAGTGACTTATGACTGGTTAATGTAAAGTGATCTTGATAGTCCTGTGACACATTCAGAGTAGCTGTGGAGAGTAAAATATTTTAGAATTGATATGTGTCTAGGCTGGTTATATATATTTTTGGAACATTTACAGAATCTGGCTAATTCAGACGATTTTTCCATTATGCCGACCACAGGTACAGAAGTCTTATGAAAGCATAGCAAAAGATGATGGGCAGAGTTTTCCCTTCCATTTTGGAAATGAGAAACTTTGGCTAAAAGGACAGAATCTGCAGTTGACTAGCAACTACAATCATATTTAAGAAGAGAGCATGATGACAGTATCTTCTTTTAGCAGCTTATTGTTGTTTTCTCCTCCTCAATAAATATAAATTTTTTGCAAATAACAGATGGGATAGTAATTTTCCTGCTCGTATTTGTTCAAACCATGATGGGGTATCACAAATCCTTCACTGTGTTCCACCATGGGGAGATCCCAAGCATTCTTCTAGTGATTGCTGACAATGGTCTTCCTCTCCGCCTCATGTTTAGCCTATGATTCAGTCATTGGAAAAACACTTGTTAAGCAGCTAAGGGAGCAAAGGGCTGTACTGAGAGAAGCACAGAGGCCACGGATGAAAACTCCCCTTAATTATTTGACTTTAAGGGAAAGAAATGAAGATATCAATAGAAGATGAAGTAAGAGTTCTTCATATGCATTTCATAAAATGCTAAATTTTCAATGTTCTGCTGTGCAGGAACTAGAGTTACAGATAGACCTGAACACTTATTTAATAATGAAAAACATTGTAGAATCTGCTGTTTATGATCAGCAGATTCACTTTCCTTATTGTGTTGTGTTTAGCCTAAGATTATATTTAGTTTTCATTCTGATACTTCAGATGACTCCTAACCCACGGAACCAAGAGATATCAATCAGTCATGACTTGTTACACTATCTAGCCACCATGAAAAATCAGGCTCTGCTAAAACCTCTCTGCTCCCAAGACCCCAGCAGGGAGGAGGGCATGGATGGGGTCAATGCCCATCTTACCCTCTTCATATACGTACTCATACTTCCTTCAGTGATGATCAAACATTAGGAAAAATAAAGTAGTTATTAGAAGTGTGGGACCTCTAGGAGATATTATTCATAGAGAAACTTGATGGCAGTGAAAATCACCCCCAGTTTAAAAGTTTCCAAAGATAGTGCCTGCACATAAAAGTGAGAATTGTCAATAATCAGAAAAAGGTTTTTTTAAATCATTCTTTTGACGTTGCTTGTGATGTGTGTGGATAAAACTAGTATTCGATATTGAATTCTGACCATGTAACATGTTTTAATTTACTATAAGCCCTCACCATTCTTTTAAAGAGTCCTAGTCAATAATTACAAAATCTTTTAATTGACCAAGCCAATTTGTGTGTCTGTGAAGGAGTTGTAATTATTAAGCATTGCTAATAAAACCTTTTTTTAAGTTTTTTTTTTTATTTCAAAGGCCATTTCTTCTCTTGCCTATTCATTTTTTTTCTCACTAAAAGTACCTCCAAGTACGTCCAGCATGCAGGAGGCTTTTTCTTGCCATTTTTCTTAATGTGGATGTATCTGAGTCTTCTGTCATGTTATCAGACAGAGATATAATTCACCATCTATCCAAAAAAGTAGAAACATTCAGGGCCGCACTTTTGTAGAAGATAAATTGGCTCAGCAAAGATTTTACCAGCCTGCAGACTCCCAGGTTTTGGGCCTAGCTTATGTGGAAACTGAGTTTGTCCCACAGAATTCCCTTCAAGCAGGTAGAGCAGTGGTTAGCCTACGTAGGCTCTGAGAAGGACTGCAGCCCACGTCAAGATGTGTGTTCTCTGTTTCTTCAGCTGCCTCTTCACAGCCCTTACCCTAAACCCCATGGCAGAGAAGAAAGATCTAACTGTAGCGATATGAGTCCTGACTTGTCTTTCTTACAGCTGTGGCTTAACCCTAAGCACTCCCTTAACAGTGAATTTTCCAAGCAAATGTAAAGGGCGAGGAAAGAATGTGTAATGCCAACTCTCTGAAAAGTTTAAGCATATGGGAATTAATTTTAGTTCTGTAAAGAAAAGTTTTCCAGAACCTTAGCAAATTTGAAGAACTCACTCAAATTTGGTATTTCAGAATTTTATCCAACAGTTTGATATAAAGTCCCCAAATTTGAACTTTGAACATTATATGTATCATCCTTTTAGCAACTCATTCTCATGGTAGTATTTTCCTTACTCATAATTTTCACGTCACAGTAGTTTTTTGTTCCTGTAGTCCTAATACAATGGCCATATTAAAATCAAAATGATGAAGATAAGGAATATTTTGAGAGTCAGAACTGACTTCCAGGATTTGCTTTCTCTGCTCCTGCCTCCTAAACGGATGCTTAGAAGAAACGGCCCACAGATTGGGAATAGCTGATTGGCTGTGTTCGTTAAGCTGATTTCCACGCTATTGTCTCTGGAAATATGCATCTGTTCTTTTCCTATTTTGTCACTTTTTTGGGTGTATGTGCTTATGTACACAGATATAGGCACATGTCACTTGTGTATGAAGCAGAATTTATTATGTTTAGTCTTACAGAATTTACAAAGTTAGCCTTATGAAAATATAATAATATAGAAAAAAATTATTATTTCTAAGTAGGTAATCTCAGGAATATTATTTCATCTATATATTGATAGAAATTCATATTATAATGTATAACATGCTTATTATAAATATGTAATTAGCAATGCTGTACAAAGGACTATTTAAATATTAATTTCTTTTATATCTCTTTAACTTGTGCATGGTTTGTTTTAAAAAGTATTATATGCATAGAGAAATAAAATGACTTTTTAAACTATAGTTTTAGGAAAATCTTAGAAACAGCATGCTGAATATGGCCACTGAGTAACATTTTTTAAAAAAAATTCTGGGATAGGAGCAAAAATTAATTTTTAAATTATATTTTATTTGGCGAAATATACCTTGAGGCCAGGCACAGTGGCTCACGCCTGTAATCCCAGCACTTTGAGAGGCCAAGGAGGGCGGATCGCCTGTGATTAGGAGTTTGAAACCAACCTTTCCAACATGGTAAAACCCCATCTCTACTAAATATACAAAAATTAGCCAGGTATGGTGGCATATACCTGTAATCCCAGCTACCTGGAAGGCTGAGGCAGGAGAATCACTTGAACCCAGAAGGCAGAAGCTGCAGTGAGCTAAAGATCTCATCACTGCACTCCAGCCTGGGTGACAGAGCAAGACTTTGTCTCAAAAAAATGTATCTTAAAAAATTTAAACATTACAGATTTGTAATAAAGTATGTGAGATGGGGAGGGATGAGAAGAATAGAGAGGCTTTTTATCTTCAGGCATTCTTCCTGAACATGTCTGATTAAATTTTGCTACTGAATCTTGCTGTCTAGACTCTTCTTCAAGGCATGAAGCCTGTGTGGGTGGCTACACCCGATGCTAGGAAGCTTAAGGAAGTCCACTTTGTTCATCTCTGTCTAACAATCTCCTCTCTCTCTCTCTCCAACCTGTCTCCTCATTGCATCCCTGTGCTTCCGTCTGCCACCTCGTAGCCATGCCAAAGTCAATGGTCGCGTATATCTAATAATAAATAGGTGGGTACTTCAATGTTTTCTCTCTTATTTTTGTTTAAAGCTGATTCTTGCTGTGTTGAACTCTTAACTGCTTTATACATGAAAAATCGTGTCATCAGATAGTGGACAGTGGTCTTCAGGTATGCTCCTGGATGTATTGCAAACCAAACCATTTGGTGTCTATACCGAATGGTGCCGCCAAGTGGATGTGTTGAGGGTCTTCAGCTGGTGCTCAGCCTTTGGCCTTGATTCAAATTATGTGCTGTTCATTCTGTTCTTTGGTAGAATTAGTGCAAAGGCTTGCCTGAGAACTTCTCTCCCTCTTGAGCAAATAATTGAGAGCTCAGCTCAAGAACCACCTCCTCCACAAACCCTCCCATAAATGCCGACATTCCTGCTAAGAGTAATCTGCCTTCCCTCCGAATCCCTGTAGCACTTGATCACTGATGCTGTCCTGACACTTGCCTTCCAGTCCTCTGTCTGATCTCCTGCCTGCTTGACTTATCTGCCTTGCTAGAGTAGGGGCATAACCTCCTCAGATCTGGACTCCCTCTATGATTCACCAGGATGTCCCCATGTCACCTGCCCCAGGGCCTAACCCATGAAGTGATATTCAATAGCTATTTCCTAAATGAAATGAAAGTAGTCACAGTATATGGTTTTAAAAACATGACTTTCTTCAAGTATATCTCTACCTGAAAGATCACCACATTATTGAAGAGGGATATTTTACATCACCAGGTTTCATATGTTTGCACAGCACAAAAGGCATCGAGGTGGCACTGAGACATGGACTTACTCTGAGATGCATATCACCTTGCCAAGGAGATAAAATATAGAATGTCCACACAAAATAAAAAGCAAGCTTTGATAAATGTTAGACAATGGGTTATCCTCCAGTGTTATCCTTTGGGATCTCACTTACTAAAACTATTTTACTTTACTGAGTAGGTGAATTAAAATATTCACTCTTGTAACTGCATGTCATAAATAAAGCTAGTAATTTTATTAAGAGAAATGTATCTTGCCATAATTCCAATTAACAAAATAATTATTGAAAAGATTTTTTGGTTTTTTACCCCATTCACTTTTCTTATAAGTAAAATCCTAAGACAGACAACCCAATCACAAACCCTAAGAGGCAGAGCCTCTAACAAAGTGTGAAAGGCATCAAGAGTCACTGTGTAGATTGCTGAGGGAGGAGGAATGAACGGGGACTGTCAGCTTTCTTA